GTATTGAATGGATCAAATTATTGTGGAGGTCATAGCCCCCTTAACCACCCCTCAAATTACGCCCATGACTAGGAGCACTGTCAGACCTCACGAGATCTCAGTGAAATTGTGTTTCAAAAGTTTAACTCACATTGGGTATATAAGACATTATTAAATGATTTAACTCTACGGMTTGACCATTATTTACATTTTAAGATTATTTATTTAAATAAGACAACAGAGAATCTCAGGACCTCATCCACCTCAACTGGGTTCGGCCAAGTTCTCCTACAGACCTGCTGCAGGGTCACATGCTGCTGCTCCCCCTCACTCGTTCACTCATTCATCCACTCACTGATGTGTGTGTGGGTGAGTCAGTGTGTTCCTGACAGAGTTCTCCTCTGTTCTCCTGCCGGCCGAACAGGAACCAGAACTGCTCCAACAGCAGAACAAGCTACAGAGTGAAGCTGCTTTAAGCTTCGCTAACGTCTGTTAAAGAAGCCGAACCTGAAAGCTAGAAAGCTAAAATAGCTTAAAATAAAAGCTAAAAACAATCAGATTAGAAATTTCTGAAGCTAAAATCACCATAATGGCTAAATATAGCAAAACAGCATGTACAACGTAAAATTAGCAACACAGTGGCTGAATGATAAAACTAGCACATGGTGGCTAAAACCAGCAAAAAACTTGCTAAAAGCTATACTTAGCAAAATGGTCACACTAGATTTAACAAAACATTGAAGCTTATTTCAAACCAGTAGCTAAAAGCTAAAACTAACTAAACAAGTACCCAAACGTGAAAACTAGTTCATAGAAGCTAACATTAGTAAACCAGTTAAAATAAAACAAGTACAGAAAGTCAAAATAATCAAAAAAGTAACAAGCAGCTAAAACAAGCAAATCAGTAAAGCCAATAACTCAATTAGGAAACTTTAAAGCTAAAACTATCAACCAGGTAACTAAAATGAGCAAAACAATGGCTTCAATTGTAAAGTAGTGGCTGAAAGTTTTAAAAAAAGTAGAATAGTCACTAAATACTTTAATTAGCGAACCCTAGCTAAAAGCTAAAACGAGCAAAACAGTGTCAAAAAGCTAAAACTACTAAAATGGTGGGTAACAAGCAGAATGGTCACTGAAATCGATCACTAGTAAAAACAGTAGCTAAAAACTAAAGATGAAGCAAGCATGCAGAAGATTTTAAGGAGCACATTTAAAGATTTGTAGAGAACTCAACATAATTTTAAGACAAAAYAGTCGCTAAATTAAAAAGTCTCAGCTGTGATGTCCAGAATGAGCTGAGTAATTTGACCCTTAACAGCTGAAACAGTCAAAGTTATGCTGAAGTAATTTGGTTAAAAAACATGAAAGAAAACACCAACAACAGAATATTTGTGTGAATTCAGCAGTCACACAATTAGCTTGATTTTCTGCTCTCACCACCCCCTCATGGACCCGGCTTCTCCCGTCTGTTTCGGCTCTGTACTGACCCATAAATCAAACAGAAGCTCTTTGAGTCCGACTCTGACACTGATACTTGTTCTTTGATAACCATCAGAGGAAAGAATAACTTCAGAATCACAGACCCCCTCTTTTTCTGCAGCTTTGGGTAACAGATGACCCGATTCTGATCTAATTAGTCTAATAAAACTCTGTGTTATCACCATTTAGTGTCTYTGTTTATCTGTTAGTAAAATATCTTCAGGTAAGATAACAATAGTCCTGTCTGGGCCTGGGAGTTTTGTCTTCAGAGGATGTTGCTCTTGTTCCCACACTTCAGCAAACAAAGAGAGCAGCTCATCTGTCCCATCAACACAGAACAGCTCTGTCCTGCAGCCTGAC